CTGGAAGAAATTTTTCAAGATTGCAGTAATGAAAATTTAAAAAATGATTAAACAAATACATCATTCATCAATCTTTTGCCATTTTTAGTATCATATTGGCAGCCACATCACCGGCAGTAACAATTCCAACGATGCTTGACTTAATTAAAAATGGTTATGGTGCATCGTCTGGTGTTCCATCAGCTTTACTGGCTTCATGCGCAATTGACAATATGACCTGCATTCTTGGCTTCAACATTGTTGTCACACTAATCTTTCCAAGAGGTATATTCTGAGTGCAACTTTAAGCTTCAAGAAACTTCACATGCAATGCCAAATGCGAAGAAAAAAAAAATGTAAAATAAGACAGGTTTAAAAAAAATAATAAGCTGTTCACTGTATCCTCTAGTCAGCATTTTTCTTATGCTGTGCATCTTTTCAGTGAATTTACGTTATGAATTTACAATGATGTTTACAACTATAATCTTAAGTGCAATTGGTGGACTTATTGGTGGTAAGTGTTAAATCTGTTCAAGCTTTTTAAACAATAATTTACGACTGATAAATGCATTAATTAGTAACTAATGGTAACTTTATTGTACAGTTTTCTCAACAATTTTCATTTTCCAACTTTCTCTTTAAATCATTTTTTTAAACAAATGAATAAAAATAGAAGTTTAGTACAACTTAGAAGAAAAAAAAAACATTCTTTGGAAGTATATGTGGTAACCAACAGTTACTTAGTTCAAATTTTTTTTGTATTTTCTAATCAACACATTATACTTCCTAATTTAAACACCTTAAATTTCGTTCTTGGTACAGTACCAGTAAATTTGGAGTCTTCAAAGACTTTAATTGTCTATTAAGCTGAGCAAATATGATAGATTTCAGATGTCTAAAATCTGTATGTTTTATTTTTACCAGTCTTGGAGTGAGAGCTTTCTACTGTGATAAGACTAAAAATCGATGTTTTGGTGAAAAAATTCTTTATATTTAGCCCACCAAAAATTGATTCACTACCAAAAGTTTATCTAGTAAAACTATTAACCGCATAAGTGCAGTATACTGACAACAAAAAAACTTAACCACTACCACTCACTGTATAATCTAGTTTTTTCTATGTATTAAAATTAGATTCTAAAATCCCATCTATGTGCTTATTTTTAAGCAGTGGGACTAACCCTTAGCAAGTAAGAGTATCTTGGCTTTATTAAACGGTAAAAGTAGGCCATTTAAAATAACAAAAGTTTTGCTATCGCGCATAAGTGTTCTAAAAATTCCAGTTAAAAGTACCCAAATTCAGTCAATTTTGGTCTCAGTTTTGTTTTTCACATTTATAAAGCTTCAATCAAAATGTGTTTATTAAAAATTTTTTTTCTTTTTTTCTTCTTGAAATTATCTTTTTCTACGACAGAATTTGAATGTAAACCAATAGCGAAAATCTCAAAAATAACAGTATTTCTAAACGACAGTAAAATGCTGCAGGAAAACTCTGTATTCTATTGATGCTAATAGTTAAGTGTTGATTTCATATTTAGACTTCATATTAAGCAACGTTGAAAACGTCAATAATTGCCATTTGCATTAAAAAAAAAGAGAGAAATTGAAACATATGCAAAAAAAATTTTTTAATCAATAAATTTCTATGAAAATTTTTTATTTCCATGCCGATTTTTCCACCGATAACTATATCCATATTTAGTTCTCTTTGATAGCACAAATGCAACAGCAAAAACTACCGACAACCACACATTTAGGTCGTATACTTTGGGTGTTTCCATACGAAGGTTCCAAGTTTGTACATTCAATACGTTGGGTACTGTCGCTTAGTATCTGTCTTGCGCTAAACTTCGGAACTTTAGCACTGGAAATTCCAAGTGCCGGCGTTATTGCAACTGTACTACTGAATATGGTTGCATCTATTAAGTGGAAGAAGCACTATAAAGGAAAGGTATGTTGTGAAGAGTACAATTTTTTTTGTTAATTATTTAATTTCGTCTCAATTATAAGTCCATATATTGGAATGTTAATACTGTTAACAAATTTTGCTAAAAAAAAGTTTGTTTTGATACTCATCAAACAATTAATATTTTAGATTAGAGAAAGGTCGTTTTTTTTCTACATATAACACCCAAATCTGCAAACATTTAGCAGTGGTTCACTAATCAGCTGATTAATCGCTTTTATACTTAAAAATCATTAAGCATTAAACCAAGAAAAAAAACTTCTCTTTTTATTTTCTCCATCCCTTGTCGTTTCCTACAATACTAATAATTTTGAACCATTGCAAGACACTTTAATTGCTGTTTTCTTTCCGTACACAGTTATTGCTTAACTTTTTTGCTTCTTTTTTTTTCAGCCATACAAAGAAGCAGATACATTTGCACATATGTGGAACTTTTTTGCAATGCAAATCATGTTCAGTTTAATTGGTTATGAATTCGACTTTAAAAAGGTTTGCTGCTCAACAGTATTATAATTTTATTTTGGTAAAAGAAAAATAAATAATTTTGTAAAACTTTATTATTTAAAGACTATTTCTTCGTTATTAATTATCTATTATCATTGATTATCAAAAATACTAGAAAATAATAAAAAAAAAAAAAGATCAAAAATTTCTGAATATATGCGCCATCTTTAATACTTCGATATACCTATTCAGTAAAATAATACTTCAATTTGCAGCTTTATACATCAAAAATTCTCAAAGCTTTCTTGATACTTGGTACAGGTGCCATAGTTAGAGCTGTATCTGTATTTTTGCTATCATACGGTTGTAAACTACGTACCAGCGAACAGTTGTTTATGGCACTAGCTTTCTTCTCTAAAGCTACGCTCCAAGTAATTTGTTAGATGTACTTTTAACTTTTTGATAAACAACAAAAATACAGTGTAGTTTCGACTATCACCTCAGTAACGTATCCGCGTTACCGATACATTTAAAATTCCAATCAACAAACTCTATTGTTGCGGTTATAAATACATCGCTAATGCTTATTTAGGCTGCACTATCACCACAAGTCATGGATCGAAGTAAAAATAACTCACAACAGCATGACGAAGCTCATTTACTTTTGTCCACCTGTGTCATTGGAATTATTATCATGGCACCCATTGGTAAGTTATGCTCAATCAAGTGATTAAAAAATGTCAGAAGAAATTCCCAAAAAATTCCAGCCTGTTCCAATTTGTCGTTTAATAAAAAAATTGTTGTTTAATAATTTAATAAAAAATTTATATCTATTTTTTCCTTCTACTGTATTTTTTTTTTT